TTTAAAATTTTTCAGAAACTTTAAATCTTTCATTGTATCAAAATAGAACTAAGAAATCGTACAGGCCAACAATTGTTGTTCAAAATTTCGGATTATCGATTTCGATTTCTACTTCACACGAAAGGGCTGCTCAAAGCTCAGCTATTTCTTCCATTTTTGTGAACATAAAGGACGGCGTGAGAAGTTGTAAGATTGCAAAATAAGTTGCGAAATAAGTTGAAACAAAAACAGCTCGAAATCAGTTAGAAGGTGGAAAAAAGGCAACTAAGCTTTGAAATATAAGGGTCAGTAGTCAAAAATTAGGTCGTAAGAGATTTCGCAGTTTTGTAACATTGCAAAGACAACTTTGACGATATAAAATGAGTATAAATCAAAGTATTCACTTTTGGACTAGAGAGTTTACAAACTCTTCTTTGGAGATTTTTGATAAAAACCAAACCCAGTTTTGGAAACAAATATTTCATCTTAGATAGAAAAAGTATTTTCCCTTACTTCTTTAGTTAAGGTAGAATCGAATTTGGTTTTTAGGCGAAGCTTAGTCTCTATTTAGAAATGCGATATACCCACCTTCGTATAAAACTTCAATTATTGAAAGGAAGGTCGTTTGATGCTTTCAAAAAAGAAAAATCATAAAATCAAAGGATGACTATGATGAGGAGCCGGAACTTTACTCAACTTATACCAACATTCTACTACATTCTCTATTTTCCAGTTGTGAAGCATACTTTAACAAAAAAATGGTTTACAACGCCAATGGATCCTCATGCAGCACAAATATCGAAACAAATATCGCAGAACAAATTCAACTGATAGTTTGTTCACTGATAGAGCAAACACCATAGGAACAGGGAAAACGTTTTCACTCTGTGAGAGCTTGCCATTGATGTCTTTTTTTTGTGAAAAAAAAATGTTTGTATCGAAAACCAAAGTTCGATTTAAATTAATTGTCGCTAGAGCTAACTTTCTAGGTACTGTGTGGTAATCTAAACAATAGTCTGAAAACTGTTGATTGTTCGCTGTTTAGTAAAAAAAATTTAGTAGCTGAAACTAGTTATGAACAAAGGCAAGGGAATCTGGAACGGGAAGCTGCTCATTACAATATTATGGAAACTATAACAGGAACCTTCATCATTCCATCTCGTCAAAAAATGCTCCCATAAAAAATACTGCTCCAAAGAAAAATTACATTCATAGATGTGAGAGAAGCTTCTGAGAAAAAGAAGGTTGAACTGGATAGATTGAACTGCATATTATAAACTTAGAAAACTTAGAAAAAGATCAGATTAAATTGAATCAATTGTTAGAGTGAATGACTATCGATCAGTAGTCATTGATTCTGTTATTGTTTAGCTAGTTTCTTATGCTTCATTCAAATGTTATCCGAATAGTAGCCTTAGTTTTTTACAAATTTTCCGCAGTGTGGGTAGAAAGTTATGTTGAAGGAAAAAAGTAGTTTGCATTCTCAGAAGTAACGTACCTTTCATTGTACCAAAACGTTACTGAAGGAAAACTTACATTCAAAGATGTAAGAGAAGCTTCTGAGTAAAAAAAAGATTGAACTGGATAGATTGAACTGCATATTATCTCTGCATTGTATCCTATTTTTGTTGATATAGTTTTAGTCAAGAGCGACAAATTTCACAGGTGCACAGAAATTTAAATAAAATTGAATTTGTGTAACATTAGTTAGGACTACATAAACAGTAACCATTCATTTACCTGAGGGTCAATTATTGTGTTTCATTCAAATTGCTGGTCTAAGTCATTGTTTTAATCCTTTGAATTATCAGTCCTTTACGGTGTATCAATCCTCTACAAATACAAATCCATAGTATCAAAATAGAACTAAGAAATAGCACAGGCCAACCATTGTTGTTCAAGATTTCGGATAGTCTATGGTCCACCAATTGCAGTTTGTCTGTGTTGTAATTAACTGTTGCACTCCTGGTTTTTTTATGGCAGAAGCACATTGATTCGTGCTTTTCGGATGAAATTTTTGTATTTTTTTAATGGAAATACAAATACTTATGCAACTGCATAGTCAGGGGCGATTTTAGCGTGGGGGACGCCTGCCCCCTAAGGAATTCGACACTGCTGACCAAAATGGTCTACCCTTTGTACTATTTTGGGATATCCAAATTAGGTGACGGACCCTGAAAGTTTTCTAAAGGCGCCTTTGGCGTCAATATTGACTTAGTTTGAGTAGGTAGGTTGCGCTAAAAAAGCGGAATTCTTTGGTCAACATTTTCCAAAAAATGCCCAAAAGCGCCTTTTTTGGCCTGTTTTTCAAAATTTTGCCTGCGGCAAAAAAATAATGACCAAAAGATGGTCTTTTCAGTGCTTTGCTTTGAGAGAGCTCGGATATTCACTTTGGTTGACCTAAAAAGAAAGTGTCGACAAAATTTTCGAAACTTTTGTCGACCCCCTCGAGAAAATCCTAGATCCGCCGCTGTGCATAGTAGAAAAAACTTGCTTTTGATTTTTTCATAAAATCTTTGTAACAAAAGTATGGCAAAATGCTTGTTGCGTAATTTCAAAATGGAACAAAACTGCTTATTATAAAAATCCATAGCATGGAAAAAAATGTCATGCTGTTTGTATACTATTGTATACTGTTTGTAATGTCATGCAGGATAATCGATTTCGATTTCTACTTCACACGAAAGGGCTGCTCAAAGCTCAGCTATTTTTTCCATTTTTGTGAACAAAAAGGACGGCGTGAGAAGTTGTAAGATTGCAAAATAAGTTGCAAAATAAGTTGAAACAAAAACAGCTCGAAATCAGTTAGAAGGTGGAAAAAAGGCATCTAAGCTTAGAAATATTAGGGTCAGTAGTCAAAAATTAGGTCGTAAGAGATTTCGCAGTTTCATAATATTGCAAAGACAACTTTGACGATATAAAATGAGTATAAATCAAAGTATTCACCTTTGGACTAGAGAGTTTACAAACTCTTCTTTGGAGATTTTTGATAAAAACCAAACCCAGTTTTGGAAACAAAGATTTCATCTTAGATAGAAAAAGTACTTTCCCTTACTTCTCTAGTTAAGGTAGAATCGAATTTGGTTTTTAGGCGAAGCTTAGTCTCTATTTAGAAATGCGATATACCCACCTTCGTATAAAACTTCAATTATTGAAAGGAAGGTCGTTTGATGCTTTCAAAAAAGAAAAATCATAAAATCAAAGGATGACTATGATGAGGAGCCGGAACTTTACTTAACTTATACCAACATTCTACTACATTCTCTATTTTCCAGTTGTGAAGCATACTTTAACAAAAAAATGGTTTACAACGCCAATGGATCCTCATGCAGCACAAATATCGAAACAAAGATCGCAGCACAAATTCAACTGATAGAAATTTAAATAAAAACGAATTTATGTAACATTAGTTAGGACTACAAAAAAGCAACCATTCATTTACCTGAGGGTCAATTATTGTGTTTCATTCAAATTGCTGATCTAAGTCATTGTTTTAGTCCTTTGAATTATCAGTCCTTTACGGTTTATCAATCCTCTACAAATACAAATCCATAGTATTAAACTAAAACTAAGAAATAGCACAGGCCAACCATTGTTGTTCAAGATTTCGGATAGTCTATAATTCACCAAATGCAGTTTGTCTGTGTGGTAATTAACAGTTGCACTCTAGGTTTTTTTTATGGCAGAAGCACATTGATTCGTGCTTTTCGGATGAAACTTTTGTATTTTTTAATGGAAATACAAATTCTTATGCAACTGCATAGTCAGGGGCGATTTTAGCGAGGGGGACGCCTGCCTCCTAAGGAATTCGACACACTGCTGACCATAATGGTCTCCCTTTGTACTATTTTGGGATATCCAAATTAGGTGACGGACCCTGAAAGTTTTCTAAAGGCGCCTTTGGCGCCAATATTGACTAAGTTTGAGTAGGTAGGTTGCGCCAAAAAAGCGGAATTCTTTGGTCAACATTTTCCAAAAAATGCCCAAAAACGCCTTTTTTGGCCTGTTTTTCAAAATTTTGCCTGCGGCAAAAAAAATAGTGACCAAAAGTTGGTCTTTTCAGTGCTTTGCTTTGAGAGAGCTCGGATATTCACTTTGGTTGACCTAAAAAGAAAGTGTCGAAACTTTTGTCGACCCCCTCGAGAAAATCCTAGATCCGCCGCTGTAGAAAAAACTTGCTTTTGATATTTTCATAAAATCTTTGTAGCAAAACGTATGGCAAAACACTTGTGCGTAATTTCAAAATGAAACAAAATCGCTTATTATAAGAAACCATAGCATGGAAAAAAATGTCATGCTGTTTGTATACTATTTTTCTTGGTCAATGAAATAGTATAAAACAGTATAATAAGCAATTTTTTTCATATTATAACTTCTTCAAAAGGGATCTTTATGTTTTTTCGAGAGAGTGCGGAAAAACTGCTCGGTCGGCGAAAAAAAGCTTTTTTTTCGATTTTTTGAAAATGCCTTCTTTCGAGAGAATTGTAGTTCTGCGCTGGTTCCTATTAAATAACTCTACTGATTAAACACTTCTCAGGTGAAATTGATGATTTTTCAATGTCCGAGACATTAACTGAAGAAATAACACAATTTATTGCAATAGTGGTGGTTTCTGCAGCTTAAAGCAATAGTGCTGGTTATAAATTTATTGATTAAAAAAGCAGAAGTCAGAGAACATTTTGCTGGTCAGAAAATAATTACCTGAGCCAAAATAATTTTTAATAAACCCGATAATATATGGAACAAAAATTATGTAGTTTTTAAAGATACTGTTTAATAGACTGATGAATAACATTCGATATGTGTCCAAGTTTGCCACATAGACCAAATACCCCTGCTGCTTTCTACCCCCCCTTCCACCACCACACTTTCAAAAAAAAAATCTCTGAAATGCTCTTATGCTAAAGGCATGATTTAAAGACATAAATTGTGAAGAACAACTGTGTTTTGAGGAGTCATTTTTTTTCAATCGCAATTTTTTTTCAATTTGCAAAATCAAACTTCAAATGAGGCTGATGGTCGCGTGTGTGTGTGTGGGGGGAGGGGGTGCAAGTTTAACTGGATCTGACTAATAATCGTCACTTGATCGCTATCTTAGCGAGTTCCTCGTCCAATTCCGACATGACCAGAGAGCACTCTCGATAGAGACTAGTCTGGATGCGACTGAACTCCTTCAACTGGTTCGCGTGGTTCGTGTGGTGGTTGTTGAGCGTGCGGCCGATGATGACTTTAGTGAAGTCGTGTTGTCTGTCGAAATCTTTTTGGGCTTCCTGAAAAACAGAATTTTAAAAAGTAAGCAGAGAAAAAAGACAGATTTTGAATGTCGAAAATAAGTCAATCTAAAACACATTTAGTTACACTTTATCATATCTGGATGAGAATTATTAATTTTTGGGATGAGTTAGTTGTTTCGCGCTGACAAGAGTATACAATTTGTAATGTGAAAATATCCGCTTTGTACGGGGTTAAAAAAAATTGGGTATTTTCCTCTTCGGGGATTCGACTTTCAGTTCACTCAGAGATGAGATTTTACGAGATCTATTTTCGGTCGACTACCATGAAATTTTTCAAAGAGAGATTTTCACGTCAAATACTTGGTTATTTTGAGCGCGTGCCAAAAAAAATTATTTGACCAAAGTTTTTCAAAAAATGGTCAAAACGCATTCTTGGCCTGTTTTTCTTTTCAACAAAAGACAAAATACACGGAAAGTATGTTAGCCAATCATAAATAAGCATTCAAAGACGTGATATTCAGTCGGTTTTGGAAAGTTTTAAGAACGTGGTTGATTGTGAGAAATTTTGCGCATTTGGTGGGGTTGGCAGTCCTTCTCTCATTGAAATAGCACCCAAAATTTTGCTCAAAAAGCGTTTCTACTAATTTTGATTTATTTCAAACAATCTGATTCAAGATATATCTATGATCAAGTTTTTATAATAACTAAAGCTTTTAGCCGAAAAAACTTTGCTTAAAAAATCGTTTTTGCTCAAATGGGTTGAATTTAGACAAAAATGATTAAGACAAAATTTGGTTAAAAACTCAGCAGAAAAATTTGTGCAAATTTTGTTGCAAAATTCGGGTCCAAACTTGGACCCCAAAAACAACCATTTTCAATTCTTTTTAGTCAATCAAAAAATACGCCAAAACTATTGGTTCAATTGCTGACAAAATATATTGCTTACTTAGCACAAGAAACTTTAAGGTGGGCTTATCTTTCACAATTTTATATAGATTGTTCTATTACTGTTTGATTGACAAAAAAGTTCGTTTTTACAATAAAAAACACTAACATTTGAAAACAATTTGAAACGCTTTGCACAATTTTCGGATATTAAATTTTCTGTCAAAAATTGTTGGGCCTTGTACTAGGCTCACTTTGAAATATTTTTGAAGTAATTGAAAACTAAAAACCCGGGTTGACCTCCATAGACCAAAAATGCTAGTCATACAATTCCATAAACTAAGTCTATGAAAAAATACTAACCATACAAATTTCATACATTTTGCTAAAATGGTGTCATCAAATTTTCGAAGAACTTTTCTCTTGTTTTGGCATAAATTTTGGTGAAACGTACTAAATAAAAAAGAAAAATTTTTTGTCAAAAAAAAAATGCTACTCATACAATTTCCATATGGAAAATGTATGACTAGCATTTTTTTGATGGCAACGACAAAAATTTTTTCGAAGTATTTTTGAAATTGCCCCCGAAAATTTTTTTTGTGTTTTTTTTCAACCGCAAATTGATTTTCGTACTAAAACATTTTGTAGTCCTGGATATACCAATATTGGATTTTTTTCCTTTTCTCTTGATAACATTTTTCAAAAATGCTCAAGACTCCTCTTTTTTGTATGGTATGTTTTTGTATGCTTTGATCAAGGTCTGGTAATTTGAAATTCAAATTTTAGAAATAATCATCTTTGAAAATTTTTGCCAAAATTTGAAAGTTTGATACTTTCGTTATATTATTTGCGTAAGACAGACTTACGACATTGCAGGCTGTTTCCAAAGCATTTTTAATGCGCGACGGCCAAAACTTTGGTTATTACGATTGAGTAACCAAGGTTTATGTCATTTGTGTTCGGTTACGGACACAACCAAAAATTTTGAGAAATCAATATGTAAAAAATCAATATTTTTGGTTTATGGAAAAATGCTAGTCATGCAATTTCCATATATGAAAAAATACTAATCATGCAATACTAGTAGTATATGTGTGAGGCGATCAGGGGGGGGAAGGGGTGGGTGCGGACCCTCATGTATTATCATAGGCTATAGAGTATCCGGTCCGCAGGCTATGTATTAAGATAGGTTATGGATTTTCCAATGTATTAGGATAGGGAATAGGTTTCCCAATGTATTAAGATACGAGGTTTCAGATGGTAAGTTTCAGAAAATTTTTTGGCGCCCGATCTAACCATTTTTTAACATTCTCTACACCAATGCGATAGGTTTTAGATTTTTCCATTGTATTAAAATACTATTTTTATTTTGTCTTACACCATTAGAGTATAAATTGAAAGTGTCTGAAACTATGCTGAAAGCTAACTGAAGCTTCAAAGAAGAAATAAAGTTTTTCAGAAAAAAAATTAAATTACTGTAAATTGTTATATTACAGTTGAAAAGTTGAATAACATATAAATCATTGTATGGTATGAAGTTTTACTACAGTTTATAGAATAAACTTACAAATTCAAGGGCTTAGTATGTATTCCATCATTAAGTACCTCCCTTTTCAGGTAAAAGTAACTGAGTCCTTTTTTAGTTTGTTCATATGTTCCAACTAAATGGTTGGAAGTTTTGAATCCGCGTTTGGTCGACTTCAAATTTACAGCTTCGTCAAGAACTCGTCTGTATTTAGACATTGGTCCATCCCCAGTGTCTTCTAGCGTTCTTTTGTTGAGCCCTTTGCTGCTAAATTTGAATTTATCGCTCTTACTATCATAGCAGCAATACGTCTTGCTGCACAGACACAACATTTCAGAACAGCGAAATTCTTCTCTGAATAATCCAGGTTCTCGTTTGTCATGCTTTTTGTGAACAGCGCAGCATGTACGTGGAAAAAAATTCTTATCTGCATCAGCTATAAAGTCATCTCTACAATCATTTCGACGAATAAGTGTCCACTGAGCTTTCTTTTCTGGTAATATACAATCGTCCAGGTTATCTTCTGCTAATGCTAGATACAAAGAGTCCGTATCCATCTCCAACTCCTCGAATTTATTCTCATCGCAATACTTGTGGAAGAAGTTGTAGTATAACTCCAACATTCTAAGTTTGGCGCATTGAAGAACGAAAAAACCTACAATAATTGGTTCTCTATGTTCAATTGTTGACTTCAGTAGTTCTACTTCATATAAGTCCTTTTTCACAATATTCAATCGCTTGAAAAACTTCTCATTTATTGCTTTGTGTGTCTTCTCATCGCCGAGATATTTGGTTATCGTGTGTCTGGATCTGTACATAATTTGATAACCGCAAAAACTGTTACCGAGAAGCTTCATCGTCTCAGCAACAACTCCAGAATGTGGATTCTCGTCTCTTTCTCGTCGAGCATCAACAACAGATTGAACAAATTTGTTGAAACATTTCCTAGGTGTGTACTCAACAAATCGATAAATTTTTGTACATTGAAGTCCAGGACTTAGATAGAAGTTAAGAAGAGGTGTGATGATTGTACCATTTTCTAATTTAAAACTGGAAATCAACATTCGTTGTGGGTTTTTCAGCAAATCGTTTTCTACGGCATAGTTTTTCATGTATTCTCCAATATCGTTTCGGGAGACGTCAATGTTTTTGAATATTGGAGGAAAATTTGAAAATGTAGGCTTCAACTCGTCAGGAACTATTAAATCGCATTGCACATAACCAAAAAGAGATCTGTTCTTTATTTTTTCAAGTAAAGAATCAGTAGACAGAGGTCTTTTCTAAGGAAAATTTGTCTTGACATGATTCTTGATTGACGAATCTGTTTTGAAATGTTTCCACCACTCACACTCCCATATTTCCTGAATTTTGTAACCTCTTTCTTTTATGTACTCTCGTCTCAACTCATCCATTTCTCGCTTCTTATTTCCCCTTTCAATATCTTGTTCTGACAACGATGGACGGGTTTCTTGACATGAGCAGAAATGATAGTAGCAACCCATAGCTTCAAATACTGTTTTACAGTGATGACAGTAACCATCAATATGAAAACAGTCAATTTTTTTCTGCTTTCCGGTTGTAAAAACTCTGAATTTTACACTCTGGTCTCAATTCTTGATAAAAGGACATAACCATGTTCTCGAAATTTCTTGTTCTGTTATTTATAGCTTTAAAACGATCCGTTTCAGAGTCATACTCCCATCTTGTGTAAAGTCCGGTTGGCATCTCTTGACACATTGAGAATGGATATAATTGGCTAGCGTCAATTCCAACAATTGTCTTACAAATATTTGACGAGTTACGAATATAAGTTTGATCGACAACAGCTTTTCGCGTAAAAACTATTGATGGACCACCAGTCATGTCTTCTCTAATTTTCTCACATAAAACTTTATCTCCTTCAAAGAACGGGTAAAATTTGTGATTTGTCGACTTGTGTAAGCAGATATTTGCAAGATTTGGAAGCGTGCATCCCAGTTTCAACATGTCAATTCCCTTATCATGGTAAAACTCTATCATTTTTTGCATAGCTTCAAGAGTAGGAACAACATCTTTGTTGTTGTACCATCGTAAGAAGTCTTTGAAAGTAATCATGCTTTGTTGTTCCCAGATGTTTTTCAAATACGAGTAATTTTCAAAACCTGTTGGGGGAATTGATTGAATACGCAACTTTTTCAGCGCACTTTGTTGATCAAGTCCTCCATTAACCAGTTATTGGTAATCGTTGAAATCTTTCTCGAGAGGGATGTGGTTTCTCAGTTTGCTGAAAAAGGTTTCATATGGAGGCAACTCCGTACAGTCAAGCTTGTCTGGACTGTCAAACCATTCGTAAGGGAAAAAATCTTTGCTTTATAGGCTTTCAGAAACGAATCCAATGTTGTTGCCCCTCCAAGAAATTTCGTTATGTCCAAAAATTGAACATCTCCAAATTTGAATGAAATGAAATCATTTGCTTTTTTAATGACTGTTGGTTCGATTTCTTTATCACATATAAGGTATGGAATCAAATAAGATTTGACAAGGTTCAGATCGTATCTGCCGCTATTGAAACCGAACACCGGTAAGGTATTAACATAGCGCTCTAAATGCTCTTTCACGTCGATCAACTGATTTTTTTGAATTCTCA